GGGGGGGGGGGTGAGGGGGCTGGGCAAGGGAAGGAAGGAGGCCCGCGCTGAGAGCAGACGGACGTGGCACAGCGACATCACGGGCCCTCGGTGCTTTGCCCCGTTTATGGCCGGATCCGGGTCCGGCTTGCCTCCTTCCTCCTCTCTTGGGCATCTTGGCCCCGTGGAGGGGACTTGGGGTGTGTAGGAACTGGAGATGTGGGAGTTACGGAGAGACTTTTTCCAGACCTTGGTCCAGGACACCCTCTGGCTCCCAGCGTCACATGAGAGCAGAAGGGACCCTGGAGTGCAGTTAAGGCAGCTGCTTGGGTGTTGCCTCCAGGAGAGGCCCAACTGGGCAGTTGGGATGGCTCCTTGTTCCCAGGGACCCATCCAGCCTTCCACTTGTGCCCCTGCTTGCCCACAGGTTAGCACTAGTGCCCCCGGGGACATTAGTATTATGTGACTACCACCCCAAGCCCACCCCATATGGGATTTTGGAGGAGGGTGCGACCTATCTGTTTGCCCCTGGCTTAGTTTGCTTTTCTGTGGGCTCTGGGCCAGTTGTCCTGCGGGCTGCGGGCCTGGCACTAGCTCTCCTCCTGGCTGCAGGACTGTGTCCATGCCAGGAAAGAGCATCAGAACCTGGGACCAGGAGGAGGAGGGATGCTGGCGACCCAAAAGCATCTCTGCCCTGTCTCCTGCCAGTTCCTGCCTTTGCCTATAAGTGTTCCTGCTTGACAGGCCGTTTCCCTAGACCCCAGGATTCCCAGTCACTCCTCAGTGGTTCCTCTTGCCTGGGCTAAGGCATGGGCCAGGTGAAGGATGGGTATAATACTTAGAAAATGTCAAGGGGCCTTGACTCCCGCGTTTCTTGTCCTGCCTCTCAGTGAGCCACAGAGGCCTCTTCACTCGACAGAAAGGCTGCCAAGGGCAGGGGCAGTTAGGGGTTTTTATTCGTTTGGTGGTCTTTGACGAAGGAGGAGAAAGTATCTCTTTGCTATATCATTCACTGGAGTCTTCTAGGAAGACTCCCTAGAGAAATTCCTAGGAATTTCTCTAGGTCTGGGGCAGGTTAAAGACCCCACCCCTCCCGTCCATCCTCTAGCTTTTCGTTCCTGCATTTGGGGTGCCGTTTCTTTGCTTAGTCCAGTTAGGAGTGTTCCTAAAGTGTGGAGCATTTGCTTTTGCGTGAGTCCGTGAAGGCCCTGTGATTTCAGGCCGACTGAGCCCATAGGGCCTATGGCACGGCACCTTACCATACCCATGCAGGCCTGCGTTCCCCTTCTGGGGTTTGCTGTGACCGTGGCCCACCCTAGGGTTGGCAGCTGTCATACTTTGGCAAGGGCCCCAGCATCCTGGTCCTAACAACTGTAAGCCCCCTCCTTCCCTTCCGCATCCCGGGCCGTGTCTGTAGGTCGCTCCAGTTCAACTGGCGTGGAGTGCCTGCTCTGTCAGAACCTGCCTCACGCTCAGCCCCCTGGGGTCCCTCCACACTGTTCTGAACCCTGTGTGACTCAGCAGCCCTGGCACCGGGCTGTGCAGCGTGTCCCGTGCTCTGTGGTGTCCATGCCATGCTGCACCAGTAAATTGTTTTCGGGTTCATTCTATGTTTACTTACTGTCTCCCCCTATGAAGATTGAGAAGTTTTCAAGGGCAGGCCCTGTATCTGCTACGTGTGTCATTACAGGAACTTCTGTGCCCCTCAATGAACTCTTAGCCCTGAGGACAATAGACATTTGGGGCCAACTGCCTTGGTGGCACCCCAGGTCCACAGATGTTCTGCTGGCTTTGGCTCTGGGTCTCTGGGCCGGAGTCAGCAAGACGCTAGTTGGGGGGGCATGAGGGTGCTTCAGCCCTGCCCAGGGAACAGCAGGGATCGGAGGGCTCCAGTCTCTGCCCCTCTTCCCACCTCCATGCTGCCTCCCCTGGCATGGCAGGCCCTGGCCCTTTCGGGTACCCCTCCCCACCCAATAACACTCACTTTTCTGTCTTCACAGCGACTTCCTGATTCTCCCAGGATTCATAGACTTCATAGCTGATGAGGTGGTGAGTATCTCTTCTGCTGACCTGGAGGAGAGGGACTATGTGTGTGGCAGAAGAGGCTGATTTCATGCTCAGGGGCGGGGTGTGGGGGAGACTTTTCTTGGGAATGTAGCCTTTATTTCTGCCAGAGAAACTGGCAAAGTGCAGTGGGTTATGTCTAATGGGGCAGAGGCAGCTGTGGGGATTCAGGGGTACGCTGAGTGCTGGGCCAGGCACAGAGCGGGAGGGCTGTCCCTGACAGCGCCCGCGGTGAGGTTCCAAAAGGCCCAAGAGAAGATGGGCGTGGGTGTGGCGGCCTTATTACCTTAGACAGGAAGGATTGGATTTTGTCTGAAATGCTGAGCAAGGACATGACAGAAGCCAGTAAAATTATGGCGACTTTGGATGAGGCGGACAGACTTGTTTGTGGATCCGTAATGCACAGGAATTGGCGAGAGGATTTGAAAGAATTAGATTTTGGACAAATACAAGGAAACACAGTGCCTCGCTTTATTGGAGGGGCCAAGTGATGAGTGAGGAGCCAAGTGAATGAACAATGTCCTTTACACAGTTAATATGTGACAAAATCACAGAAGCCAAGGGTTAAGTGCTGATGAGTAGAAGTCATTTCATGGAAAAGTTAGCTTATTCTATGATGAACTTGTGCACATTGAGAAAATAGTTTCCTTTGTTGCTGTTATCGATATTTATTTAGGTCTGATTCTCATGAAAGACCAAAGGGCCTGAGTGTACCTGGATCGCTTTTATGTTGAGGAAACTCATGTCCAGCCTGCTTGCCAGGGCTGACGCAGACAGATTTTTAGGGGGAAATTCGGGCTATTCTGGATATGTCTTTTTTGACAGCATCCAGGAAGTCTTGGTTCAGCTGTTCAGTTTAACAAAGTTTACCAAGCTCTCTGGCTTTGTGCCAGACCCGAGTGGGGTGCGAGGAAGAAAGGGATGGAAAAGTCCCCCCACTGGCCATTCAGGATGTCCCCATCCTACGGCCTGTGTCAGGAAGGCTGTGGCTCTTGCCCTGTGGTACAGTGGGGGAAGGAGGAGACGGGGGAGTTTTCTAGACTGCAGGGCCATGGTTCTGAACCAGGATCTGTGGATGGGCTTCAAGGGCCTATGGATCTCCAAAAATTATATGCCAAAGTCTGTGAGTGCACTGGGGGCTAGGATCCACAAGCTGTTGGCCTGAATCTCAGAGGCAGATTCTTCCCAAATGTGTATTTGCAGCCCTGACCTCTCTCCGAGTGGCAGATCCTTAGTCACTTACTTTCCTGGATGCCTGATAGACTTCCCGTGCCTTCTCCTCCTGGCCCTGTCCTGGCCCCACCTGGCCCTGTCCAGCGGCCTTCTCGGTGGCCTCCCTGCCTCAGGCCTCGTCACGTAGAGTCCATTCTCCACATTGGAGCCTTGAGTGACCTCTTTAAAACATAAATCAGATCATGTCTCTCTTCTGCCTGAGACCCTAACCGCCCCCCCAGTGGCTTCTCATCTCAGAGTCAAATCTAAGCTCCACTCTGTGGCCTTCAAGGTGACAGACACATCCTCACCCCTTAGCTCCCGCCCCTCCCTTTTCTCCCTACCGCACTAGCCTTTTTCTTTCTTAAATACACCTCAGAAAGACTTGGAACCAGAGGCAGGTGTCACACACAGCTCCCTCTGCCTGCAACGACAGCCCCTCACACTTTGACTTGATTGATTCTCACTTTCACATCCCAAGAAAGAGGCTTTGACCACCACATCCTTCTTCCGGTGGCTACTTTTCTTTGTTGTCTTTCTTTGGAGCCTTTATCCTGACTGAGATAATCTATGTGTTTTTCGTGTTTGTCACCTTTCTTTCCAAGTAGAATGTAACCTCCAGGAGGGATAGCAGGGACCTCACCTGCCTTGTTCAGTTCTATAGCTGCAGGCCTGTCCTGGTGCTGGGTGCCCATAGGGGCTCAATAAATGTTTGTTGAGTGAATGGTAAAACTCTTCACCTAGACCCCGCCTCTATTCTCAGGACCTGACTTCAGCCCTGACTCGGAAGATCACCCTGAAGACACCGCTGATCTCCTCTCCAATGGACACCGTGACAGAAGCTGACATGGCCATCGCGATGGCTGTGAGTCAGACACCTGGGTGGGGACCCAGGGTTGGGGAACCGAACAGGGTGGGCTGGATTCAGAAGGGAGGTTTGCAGCGTGAGAGTGTGGGCCCCTGGCTCTGATCTTGCTTCCCTTCCACCCCCAGCTGATGGGCGGTATTGGTTTCATTCACCACAACTGCACCCCGGAGTTCCAGGCCAACGAGGTGCGGAAGGTCAAGGCAAGTACCAGGCCTGTCCCCAGAAAGATGCGACCTGGCCGCCGCCTCCATAGAGATCCTCCTACCCTCCCGCGCCAGCCCCGCAGGCTGGTGCATCCCCTGGCCGACGGCCGTGGGGTCTTGTCTGCTCGTCTCCACGGTGGGGACACGGGGCCCGGCCCTCATTTTCCCACCACCCTCTCTCCCCATTAAGGGCCCTGGCTTCTCTGTGGTGTGGCTGTGTCCCACCTCGACGACTTCTAGCCTTTTCCTTCCCCTGTCTTTACCCACAGAAATTTGAACAGGGATTCATCACAGACCCCGTAGTGCTAAGCCCCTCACACACTGTGGGCGACGTGTTGGAGGCCAAGATCCGGCATGGCTTTTCGGGCATCCCTATCACTGAGACAGGCACCATGGGCAGCAAGCTGGTGGGCATCGTAACCTCCCGAGACATTGACTTTCTTGCCGAGAAGGACCACACCACCCTCCTTAGTGAGGTACCTCCAGGGCAGGGAGGAATGTGGCTGGGGCATGGCTGACATCTTGGGGCCTCACGCTGGTTCCTGTGACCAGGGACCAGAGGGAGGCCTGGCTCCCTTCTCTCTCACCTGCCAACCCACAGGCAAATGTTCCTGGCTCCACAGGTGATGACTACGCGGAATGAGCTGGTGGTGGCTCCGGCGGGTGTGACATTGAAAGAGGCAAACGAGATCCTGCAACGCAGCAAGAAAGGTACCTGGGAGTAAGCGGAAATCTCAGGACCCCCCCAGACTTGCTCCCTGTACCCCAGGCCCCCTGTCTCCTTAGAGCTTTGCAGGTTGTCCCAGCAACCAGGCTGGGCCTTGGGAAGGTTCAGACAATCCCAGCCTGGAGCATGAATCCTGACGTCCTTATTCAGCATCTCCACAGTATGTCTCCCCAAATAGCCAGTCCTGTGAAATGCTCATCACGCACACAAAAAAAGTCTGAAACATGCTGCTTTCTAACCCCCTTATTCCATAAGAAATTGTGTGTCAGCTTATTGAAGGCCCTGAGAAGTCCTGTAATTAAATTTATTTGACATTGGGGCTGCTGACATAACATTCATCAGGTCCCCGTGGGAGACACTGGGAAATGCTTCCCGTGGCTCATGCTGGATTGTTTCTTAGGGGTGGTATTGGGGAGGGCACACGTTCCTCCTTGCAGGACAGCCTCACATTTGTGCCCTGGTTAGGAGTTTTCGACCACTGTGGCCTGTGGCCTAGCAGGTGAAAGGCTGCCAGTGCTCAGGGGCCACCCACCCAGCCTGGTTAGGCCACAGGGCCGGAAGAGCTCCGGCACCTACTTGGCCGCGAGGTTTCTTTGCTTCCTGTTCCTTGGGAAGAGGTCCAGGTCCCTAGGAGCATTTCCTGGGCGGGTGCTGTCCCCTAGTGGCTGGTTTGGATACTTCCGTGGGATCTCTAGCCTGGTCTGTTTTGACCTCACTGTCCCCTACTCCCACCCCCGGCCTGAGAGGCCTGCTCCTTCACCTAACCTCTGCGTTCCTCGCCAGGGAAGCTGCCCATTGTCAACGATCGTGATGAGCTCGTGGCCATCATTGCCCGCACTGACCTGAAGAAGAACAGGGATTACCCTCTCGCCTCCAAGGATTCCCACAAGCAGCTGCTGTGCGGGGCGGCCGTGGGCACCCGTGAGGATGACAAGTACCGCTTGGACCTGCTCACCCAGGCAGGCGCCGATGTCATTGTACTGGTACGGGCACTGCCCTGGAGCAGGGTGGTTTCGTAGAGTAGAAGCTTATGAAGACTCAGCTTTGCCCCTCAGCTTGGAATCGGAATTAGGAGGGTCACACGTACTCCGACGGCTCAGAACAAACTGTTAGTCCCCTCTGAGGGCCCCCTGCACTCGTAAGCTGACCCTAATACTTCTAGCTCACGTTCTTCGAGAGCCTCCCGCTTGCCAGATCCTGCAAGACCTTTATGTAGATGAACTCGTTGAACCTTACAACAGCTCCCTGACGTACGATACCAGGTCTCGTTGTCAGACGAAGAAGCCAGGGTTGAAGAAATTCAGTAATTTCGTCTGGTAGTGAGTGGTGGGAACGGGATGTAGCCCCAGGCAACATCTCCTTGCTGTGAGGACCAGTCCACACAGTGGGAACGATGGGGCCTTGCTCTGAGCCTGTGAACCAGTGGTGCTCAACCTTTTGGGGAAAGCAGGCCTCTTTGAGACTCAGTCTGCTGAGAGTCGTCAAGTGTTTTCCCCGGTGGGGGCAGGGGAAGAGCTTTCTCATGACATTTTTCATACAATTTCAGGAGTTTTTCATTCGTGATCCCCGCCTCCCCCCGTGAGGACTGTTAGCCATCGAAACCTAAGCTTTCCCGTCCCCCTTCTCACAGGACTCCTCCCAAGGGAACTCTGTGTATCAGATCGCCATGGTGCACTACATCAAGCAGAAGTACCCCCAGCTCCAGGTGATTGGGGGGAATGGTGAGTGCAGGGTCCCCTGTCAGCCCCCAGCCCTTGCCCCCTCGCTGTGTAACTTCTCTGGCCTTCAGCATCCCTAGGTGACAGCGTCGCTCCTGCACGGGCACAGGGGGCTGAATGAATGGGCGTGGTCACTCTGGGTTGGGGGGCTAGACTGGGGTCCCAGGCAGCCCCAGGGCAAGCCAGGGGCATCCCATCCTCACACTGTTCCTCTTTTCCCTGCTCCTCCAAACCGTCCCCTCCACCCCCAGTGGTGACAGCAGCTCAGGCCAAGAACTTGATCGATGCTGGTGTGGACGGGCTGCGTGTGGGGATGGGCTGTGGCTCCATCTGCATCACCCAAGAAGGTAGGTGTCAGGAGAGTGATGCCAATCAGAACACCCCACTGGCCCTCCACAGGCGCTGGGGCCCCCCTCGCGTTGCACAGATGCGCGGTAAATGCCTGCTGCGCCAGGCCCCTTCTCAGGATGGTGGGTTCGGGGCTGACCTGGGCTCGGACTCTGCCCGTCCGGCCCACTGACTTGGGGGAGGCTGGTGGAAGATAAGGTTGCTACGAGTTTCGGGTGTGTGCCAGCCTGCTTCTCAGATTCTGGTCAGGAAGGCCCAATCTGGAGGTCCGAGGCTGGTGTGAATACTTCTCTGAGGTGCTTGTTGGAAGCCAGCTCAGAGTTTGGACCAGCTTTGTGACGGGCAGATGCTTAAGGCATGGAGACAGCACGTCCCTGCCTGTGAAAAGACATACACGCCCTTATGGCCACGTGGCAACAGTGGGAGAGGGGGATCCATTCAGTCACAAAGCCCTTTTGCAGGGTGCGCTCCTGAGCATGAAGTGGGGCAGTGTGAGACCCTGACGCGTGTCCCTGTGTGGTTGAGGGGTGCTCCCTGGAGCCTGGTGTCTGACTTGTGGGTCCTGGCTTGACCTGAGGGGATATATCCGGCCCCTGTAGTGAGAGTCATTTTTCTAGAACACTGAGTGACCCATTTGGTCTTTAGAGCCTCTGCTTTTAAGCTTCTACCCTTCGCCTTAGCTGACCGCTGTGGTAAAACATGGGCCTTTCCTCAGTAACTTAAATATTAATTGAGCACCTACTATGTGTCAGGCACTGTTCTAAATCTTGGGATGCAACAGGGTCAAGACAAACAACGGGAACTTGGAGAGAAGGCCTCTTCTCTATCTCCAGCCCTCAATAAGTCCTAGTTCCTTAGAATTCCCACGCAAAACCTCGTACTTGAAGGCTTTGGACAACTAAACTCAAAGAAATGCAACCCAGTATCCCCAAGGAGGCTGTGAGCACCCAACCCTGGTATCAGGCTTTGCAAATGAGAGAGGTTGATGCTGGGGACTCACCAGTCTGGGGTGGGGGCGCTATACTTGGAAGGCCAGTACTGGCACACCCCCCTGAGAATCCCGCACAGTTCTGTGATGGGTGGAGGGGTCCCTGGAGTGACAGTCACCCTGTGTTATTTGATGCCACCCGTCTTGTGCCTCAGACATACCATCCAGCCCTGTCCCTTTTCCCAGAGGTCGGGCACAAGGAGAAAGGGGCCCACCCCTGGCTCCTGTGTTGCCGCTGGTACCTCTGACTTGTGTACCCTCCCGCAGTGATGGCCTGCGGTCGGCCCCAGGGCACTGCTGTGTACAAGGTGGCCGAATATGCCCGGCGCTTTGGGGTGCCGGTCATCGCTGATGGTGGCATCCAGACCGTGGGTCATGTGGTCAAAGCCCTGGCCCTTGGAGCCTCCACAGGTGAGGGGGTCTGCTGGGGATTGGGCGGGCTGGTGGGGGGCTGGGAGCCGGGCGAGGGCAGTAGGAGATCTGCGGGGCCAGAGGCACTAACCCTCGACCACCACAGTGATGATGGGCTCCCTGCTCGCCGCCACCACGGAGGCCCCTGGCGAGTACTTCTTCTCGGATGGGGTGAGGCTCAAGAAATACCGGGGCATGGGCTCGTTGGATGCCATGGAGAAGAGCAGCAGCAGCCAGAAACGATACTTCAGGTGCCCTGCTTCTGAACCCTGCCCCCAGGCAGATCGGCCCGTAACCCTTCAGCCTCCACCACCGCCTTTGACTTCCCAAGACGGTGCCCAGTCCCCCCTATTATAGTTCTGGAAACCGAGGCACAGGGTACAGGCAGCGGACGTGGGGTTGCCCCCGGGCCATCTGACTCAGAACGCAGGCTTTTTTACACGGCAGCCGGGGAGTGGCTGCTTTCGGGGTGGGGGGGGGGGGGGGCTTCTGGGTGGCATCCCCTCTGTTGGTACCCTCGAGAGGGGGGGTGGGCTCCCCTGAATCATGGGCGGCGTGGCTCAGTCTCTTCGCCCTCCATGCAGTGAGGGGGACAAGGTGAAGATCGCACAGGGGGTCTCAGGCTCCATCCAGGACAAAGGCTCCATTCAGAAGTTCGTGCCCTACCTCATAGCAGGTATCCAGCACGGCTGCCAGGATATCGGTGCCCGTAGCCTGTCAGTCCTGCGGTGAGTGGGACTTGGAGTGGGCAGGACGGGGCACTGGTGGGGGGACACCTGGGAGGCTCCTGGCTCCTCCCTGCTTCCTCTCTTTCTTCCTGTGGTGTCCCTGACCTGCTCCACCTACCCGCCCTCAGGTCCATGATGTATTCAGGGGAGCTCAAGTTTGAGAAGCGGACCATGTCAGCTCAGATCGAGGGTGGCGTCCATGGCCTGCACTCGTAAGTGTGGTGGCCTCCTTGCCCCATCTGGCTGGCACTGGGTCGGGCAGGTGGGGCCGTGGTTCAGAGGCCAAGCTGAGGTTTCAGGGATCCCGTGGGCCATCTGCTCCAGGGATGGATGCTGCTGCAGGATGACCCCATCACCCTGTCCTGCAGGGCCTAGCCCACCCTTGAACCCTGTCCTTTAGCCCCTACGCAGACAAGGCCCCTCCCCTCCCCTCGGGCATCTCCCCGAGCAGGGCATGGGAGACGCGGCTGCTAGCCCCTCCTGGGCTCCCAGTCCCTTGCTTGCTCAGAAGCTTGGTGGCTGGTGGCAGGGGCTGGTGGTGCTGGGCTCTTGCTGGTGGCAGCATCAAGCAGGCTGGTGGAGGCTGGGGGCGCGAGCCCTCTGGCGGGAAGGGCAGAGAGACAGATGCCAGGGCCGGTGCCGGGGCCACCGTGGGCGGGAGCAGTGCTAGTTGGCAGCAAGTTGCAGGCATGCATCCCCGCCCTGGTCGAGAGGGCCTGGCCCCCCAGGCATAGGCGGGCATCTAACCTGTGTCTCTTTCTGCCCCATCCTCCCGTAGCTATACCTTTCTGCCGTGTAAGTAACCGCGCTGCCCGGGGCCAAGTGTAGAGTAGAGCAGGGGCAGTGTGGGTGGGACCTGGGCTCGGGGTGGGGGGCACTGGGTTGAGGGGGGCACTGGGGTGTAATCGTGGGACAGGGACCCTAGGGCTAGCACCGTGCTGGGGGCAGCCGACAGTAGCCCCTCCTCCGGCGGAGGTGCAGAGAGATGTCCCTGACCGCAGGCCTGAGGCTTCCCCGTCTTGGATTGGACCCAATGACCGCAAGGGGCCTAGGCCACGGTGTGTGCAGGGGTGGGGCAGAGACACGGGCAGCAGAGGTTCGGCTTGCTCTGAGCTTGCTCCAGGAGACTGGGCTGTGCCTTCTTGAGCTCTGTCTCCACCCCCAGCATTGAGGACAGGCTACTCAGCTGTAGCTGTGGCCAGAAGGAGCATGGCTGTCTCTGGACCTGGCATGGTTCTTTGAGGAGCCTTGGCCTGGGGAAGACAGAGGCACAGGGCCTGCTCTTTCCCCCTCCGGCCCCCCATGTGGGGCCACCCTGGCAGCCCAAGGCCTAATGGCAAGGGAATCTGGGAAGAGGGCAGGGTCCAGACACCCACGCTTGGCTCCCCTCTTGCCTTGTCCCCACAGTTACGAGAAGCGGCTGTACTGAGGACGGTGTTGGAAGCCGGGGCAGTGGAGGGGGTGCACCCCAGGATGCCCCTTTGAGCACAGCCTCCCTCCATAACTGAGTGGTCCATAGATTTGCACTACGGATTCCCCAGCTCCTTTCCAGGGAGAGAGGAGGGGAGCCCCTGAGGGTCTGCGGCCCCTCCTGGCCCTCCCCTGCAGAGTCAGGACTGTTCCTGGGGCTCGGATGCCCTGGGAGCCCCCCGGATCCCCCCTCCTCCAGTCCCCCTGAGCCTAGCCAGCCTGGGCTCTCAGGCCCTGTGCCTGCCTCAGGTCTTTCTCGCTGCAGCCTGCTCCGGCCTGGCTCCCACCCCTGGGGCAGGTGGCCCCTCCTGGCTTCTGTAGGGCACCTCCCTCCCCACTCCCCACCCCAGAAATGGTGCTCTCCTGGCCCTGCCTCTGGCCCCTTCCTGGGCTGCTGCCCGCTCAGCCATGTGGCACTTCTGGGCTCCTGACCTAGGCCAGAGGGAGGTCTCTGCCCCCTTCCCCTGGCCCTAGGCTCCCCAGGCCCTGCTCCTCAGGCCACTCCCCCTGTTCCTGGCCCTGGGGAGGAGGCTGCCCGTCGTTCCTGGCTCCCCGCCATCCCCAGGTGTACCGTTCCTGCCCTCTCCTCTCAGCTGCAGTCGGAGGCTTTAACTTTGCACACTTTGGGGTCACAGTTGCGTCATTGTATATTAAATAACCTGAATAAATCAAGAGGTCTCAATACCTCTGCCATCCTGTTTCTGCCCCTCGTCCACTGGGCAGTTGGCCCCTATCCTGGTGGTGAGCTGCAGCCCAGAGCCCCCATCAGAGCTGGGCCGGGGGGGGGGCAGGGGCACCAGGCCCAGCCTCCCCAGGAAGGTGAGGAGGGCGTTGGCGGTGCTCCAGGGGGTACTGGCGCAGGTGGGCCGCGTGACGGGAGGTCTCCCAGGCCTGTGCCTACACCGGCACGCTCACTGCTACCCGTGGACAGCAGCTCACACAGGCAGCGTGGCAGAGGGGTGGTCGTGGTTGTAGAAGACGGGCATCGGGAGCCTCACTGTGGCTGCCCGAAAGTACCCGCTACAGCCTGGTGATGCCGAACGGTGCAGCCTGGACACGGGCAGAAGTAGAGCACGGCCGTGGCCCTGACCGCTGAGCCCAGGGCCTTCAGTGTCACCAGCTGAGACACACATGTGGGTACCAGGTAGAGTGGGTTAGCTCCCACTGTTCGTCTGCTGCTCAGGACCCGTGTCCTAGCCTCAAACCCCTCCTGATGGGGACAGCAGGGACACACGGGCTGCTGAATATCCCTAGGGTTGGGGGTCCTGGGACATTCACGTTGCCTTCCTCTGCCTCTGTTGTTATGGCTGGTCATTGGGCACACAGCTGTGCCACCAAGGTGCAGACATCACTCAGGAGCAGGAGCAAAGAAGATGGCCTGAATGCTCCAGTGGCAGGAATGAGCAAAGGCTGTAGGAGGCGCTAGTTTGTGGGTGGAGAACAGCCAGAAACATCCCCGTGACTGCTGGGGGTGGGGGGCTTGCCTCAGGCTACTCTTGGCATCCCATGCCAGTACCTACCCTCTCCCAGGCCCTTCCTGAAAGAACCCCTTGGGCTGGGGCCGGCCTTCCACTGTGGCATTTTCCAGTTTTGTGGCATCTTCAGGGATGAGAAGGAAAGACCTGGAGGGCAGGACCGTTGGGTAGTTTCAGAGCTAGTTCAGTGACTGCTCCAGGGGCTGTTGCAAAGTGACTGGGTCATTCAGCATCCCTGGAGGCCTTGCACCCTGGCGTCTGTGGCCTCAGTGAGCACCTCAGAGTCCGAGGTGACACAGCTCGGTGGGAGAAGGATGCACGGATACCAGGGGATGGTAAAAACCGAGAAGGGATGGGCCACAATGAGGCCATGTTTCATAGCTTGTCTCGCACATTGCTTTACAAAAACCGTACAACAGTCAGCTTGACCGGCAACGGAGATGGATAAGATCTAAGGGTTTTTAGAGAAATACAGAGCCGCTCAGCATCAAGGGTGTGAGTGGTTCAAAGGGAGCATTTTCCTTTTGAGCTAGACCTAAGGGGTCCATTAGAGCTGACCAATACAATGGGTTACCTTGTAATAATGACCTTTGCATTACTTGAGGTATGTTAGCCTTAATTTGGCTCTTCTAGAGGAAGTTCAAGCACAATGGTCCTTAAATTCGGTGTGTGTCAGAATCCCCCGGGGAACTAAAAATAAAACAAGCCCAGGCTCACTGAAGCAGGATGCTTTCTGGGCCTCTGGGCCCCGGTGATTCTGACAAGACCCAAGTTAGCGAATCACTGTTGAGGAAATCTGGGAATCCAATTACGCGATTTCTGAGACTTGCCAAAGAAGAGTTTCAGATGACACAGCATAGCGTCTACCTCATGCCCGCGCTGCAGGGATGATGCGAGAAGTGCATGGAAGGTTGCGGTGCTCAGTAAAGCCGGCTTCCCGCGTCCTACTTGCCCTCACGCTCCCCAAAGGAATGGAGGCTGGAGACGAACGTGCGCCGGCTGGCCCCAGACAACACGCTCACTCTGGGTTGTATAATTCGGCCATAGTAGGGGAGGCCCCGGCTGGGACAAAAGGACAGTCGCTCTGGGTAGGAAGGCCATATCAGATGGACATTCAGAGGCAGTCCAGAGCCACATTTGGGACAGATGCAGGTCATAGACCCCAGGATCAGCAGAACGTGTCCACTTGGTCCCGCCTGGTGCGGGTGGCCCAGGCACCCCCTCACCCTCACCCAGGCACACTCACCTATCCATGTAGTCCAGGCTGGCTGCCACCAGGCTATGGAAGATGTGGTCACGCAGGCACCAGGCCACGCTGCTCCGGCGCCCCAGGTCGCAGCATCTGCACGGGGGTTTAGCCACGCAGGGAGAGGGCGTGCACCACCAGCAGGCAGCCGGCCAGCGTCCCAGTCCCCCCCAACAACGCCAGCTCCCAGGCAGCCTGCCCCGCTACCCACAGGAGGTGGCTCGGCACACTCTCCGTGGCCAGCACATCAAAGCCACGGGCCAGGGAGAGCTGCAGGTACTTGGTCTAGCCAGGGCAGGAGCCCGGGGGAACCTGGGAGGCACGGCTTACACTACAGGGGAATGGAGTCAGAGAGTTGGTGGGTAGCAGCGCAGCCATGGGTGGCCCACCCTGGAGGACAGATGGAGAGGTGGCCAGTGGCCCTTGACTCTGGCCCCACCTTCCC